GAGGCACGTGGAGAGGGTGCGGGGGCTGCGCGCGCCGATTCGTCCCCGGAGGCCGCAGGTGCCGGGGGTCCCAGGAGAGGGCGGCTGGCGAGCCGGGGCGGGGCGCGCTCCCTGGGGGCCAGCGCGGCGGCCTGTCCCCGGGCCTGGCTTCGGGGCGGCAGCTGCAGTAATGCAAGTTTCCTGTGGGACTCCTGACTTCTCCGAGTTGAAGGCGGCGATTCGGGACGCGAGTTGCTCTTGGAGGGAGTTGAGAAATACTGATCGCAGCTCATCTCCTCGCGCGGGCTCACACCTGGCCGCCTGGACGCCGCGCCCTACGGAGAAACCAGGATCGAAGGAAAGGGCCTCCGGCAGGGCGGACGCCAGCAGGCAGGCGACTTTGCAGATTAAATAGCTCATTGACCCCTGGGACCCTTCCCTGAGAGAGGTCAGGTGCCCTCGCCATAAATAAAAGTGCGGGGCATGCTAGGCTTCCCACTGGAGCCTCTGGGCTCTAAGAAAGTCCAGGACGCTCAGGATGGTCCAGTGGAAGAACCTAGAATGATCAGGACAGCTACGAGTGCCCCAACTTTGCACTTGGCCACAGTTAGTTAAATTTGCCCAGAGCCCAGTCATGCCCCATGGGGACGAGGGAGTCACCGTTAGCAATCCTAGCGCCTTGGAGAGAAGCTAGCCTGCCCATTTCCCAGGGGGGAAACTGAGTCCCAGAAACCTTAATCCAAGGTCAAAGCCGTAACCTAATTTATACCTTTTTTAAAAATTCTAATCCCAATAGCGCCTCCCCGACACACTCACACCCAGCTTCGGTGTTTCGGTGTTAGAGTTTGGAGAGGTAGGTTGTGTTTTTCCCCCACAGGCCATTTTGCATCTGTAACATTCTCCATGTGATGAAGATATGAGCAGCGCCCACAGCAACTGACCCAGCAGTACCCCCCTAGGTGTCTGCCTCCACAAACTGAAAGCAGGCGAGCTGGCACGCTCATCAACGTCCTTCACAGCACTTTTCACAATAGCCAAAAGGGAGAAGCACTAAGGTCCGTCAGCAGAGGAGCGCATAAACTCAAAGTGGTTCATACCTTGTTATGTGCCATCGAGTCGCCTGTGACCCTAAACCCTCCTCTATCCTGTGCCAATCTGTCTCTAACACACTTAACCCCACCTCATCAAGGGTCTTCCCCTCCTGCACTGTCCCTCCACCCTCTCAGGCATGACGTCCCTCTCCAAGGACTGGTCCCTCCTTGCAACATGTCCAAAGTATGTCAGAGGAAGCTTCACAACCTTGCCTTCAAGGAGCAGCCCGGCTTCATTCACCCTCTGCAGGACGAACCTGTTCATTCTCTTAGCAGTCCATGGTACATTCAATACTCTTATCTAGCACAGCTCAAAGGCATCAATTCTCCTTCTATCATCCCTAGTCATTGTCCGGCTCTCTGACGCATAGCAAGTGATTGCAAATACCATGGCCTGCATCAGGCACACCTCGGTCTCCAGAATGACATCATTGCTCTTCAGTACTGTGGAGCGGTCTCTGACACTTTCCCATGGAATATTAGCAGCCGGAGAGAGATGAAATCCTGCCACGGCATGGGTGAACCCTGACAACGCTGTGCTGAGTGTAAGAAGCTAGACACTAAGGGACAAATACTTTACAATCTCATGAAGTGGGCACACACACTGAGAGCAATGTTTCCTAGTGGTTCCAGAGAGGGGGAGACATTTCTGGGGAACCCTGAGTTTATTAACCAGGATGGGATAACCCGGAAACAGCAATGATGAGTGTCCAACAAAATGGGCGGAATCGATAGCACTGAGTTGGGCAAAGAAAAATTGCTGAATTGGCAAATGTTTCCACCACAATAAAGAGTAAATTTTACAAAACAGAAGGTCCTTTACCACATCCTGAGGACTACGGGGCCCCAAACAGCTGTCTAGGCTCCATCTGGTCAGTAGGTAGGTGTTTGGGGCTGTGAAAAACTTTGAAGAAAAAAAAATATACATATATACTCATCCCGTCAGTAACATTTACAAATTATATCACATCAAAAATACTTAAAAATTAAATAAAAAAATACTTTGTTGAATTTAAAAATTAACTTGCTTTGAAAATTTTTACTCAAATCACAACAAAAAGATACTTTTGACATTCACTATTACACAGAATTATTTCAAAGCTTCCACATAACCGCCAAGAGGCGGTTAAGGCAGTATGAAACACAGGGGCCAAAAGAATCAATTACCCTGAGGGTAAAATGCTGTTTCTAGACCTTAAGGTTCATCGCGGATGAAAGTTAGAACCATACTGCTTAAGTAACAGGAGGGGATGAAGTTCACTCTCTTGACCTCTCTCCCTCTCCCCCACCCCCACTTAAAGGCTAAGGTGCATCTGATTCAGGCTGTGGTCTTTTCAAATACTGGACAATGACTCAGGAGGCTGAAGAAGGACCCACGCCTTGGAGCTGTGGTGTGGGAGAACAGTGTGGGATGTTCTATGGACTGCCAAGAGGACAGACAGACATGTCCTGAGAAAGTGAAGCTAGAGTGCTCCAGAAAGGCCAAGCTTTGTCTCTCATACTTCAGAAGAGAGTGTTGTTAGGACAGCCAGGGAAGCGGGCACCATGCTTAGAGGAAGAAAATCCTCAAGAAGGCCGACTCTGGCTGAAACAATCGGCTTGTGTATGGCGGGGCTGAGGAGGACGGCACAGGTTGGGGTAGGGTTCAGATCCATGGTCACTCAAGGGCACTCGGCAACAAAGCACACTGCCCACCCCCCTTCCCTTCCTCTCTGTGGAGGTGGGAGGGCAGTCTTGGTTTCTTTTGCCATCTGGAGGCCTCCTCCGGTTCTGGCCTTTCTAGGTATCAAGGAGCTTTGTCGTGAAGGGACCCAGGTCTAAAATCATACACGCCACTCCTGACACTTTTATTTCCTGGGAGAAGGGATTCCCCCTTCTCCCTTAGTTCATTTTCCTCGTCTTTACTGAGATAAAGGTATGACTGGCCACACCTGGGGGAATTTATATCCTCTTAAAGCCTAAATGGGATTAAGGGAGAAGTGCATCCCACTTTGCCCCTCCTACCTGTTACACAGTTTCTGCAATGTGTCACGACATGCATGCATTTTGGGAGACACACAATTCAATCCACGACAGATACCATGCCAAGATGCCAAATATTTTAAAAATACCCTGTCAGAAACTCTAGTCTTACTTGGTGCACAGAGAAACAAAACATGATGTCTGCACACCATGGAATGTTACCTGACCTTCAGAAGAAAGATGGACAGAGCTAAACTCCAACATGGATGAACCTTAAAACATGGTCCTAGTGCAACAATGAATGAATGGAAATCCAAAGTCTCTGTAAACGTTCATTAAAATGAATTTTTTTTTTTAAAAAAAACAACCCACGGTGCTACATGAGAGCACCTCCACCCTTCAAAGTTTGATGTCCTTTTCTGAGGACTGGTGCCTCGTGGCAATATGCCCAAGGTATGTGAGACAGAGCTTCCAAATCCTGGTCTCCAAGGGGCGGCTTGGTTTCAACTTCTCTAGGATAGACTTACTTGTTGTCTTGGCAGTTCATGGTTTATTCAATATGCTTCTCCAGCATCACAGCTCAAAGGCATCGATTCTTCTTCTGTCACTCTTCTTAGTCATTGTCCAGCTCTCTTATGCACAGCAAGTAACTGGGAAACCATGAAACGCCAGAGTCCAGGCGACATCATGGTTAAAAGCATTCTTAAATTAACCAAAGAGTTGGCAATTCAAACCCACAAGCCGGTCTTCAGAGAAAGGCGGGACAAAGATCTATGGGCTCAGAAACGCTACAAGCCAGTGCTGCTCTGTCCGGCACGGTCACTGTGAGGTGAACAGTCCTGCACATCATTGGCTTCTCTCGAGTACTGTTGTGGTGGTGGTGGTGTGCCGTCAAGTATAAGAACCGACTCACAGCTGACCCTCCAGTGGGTTTTCTGAGGCAGTAAATTACACAGAGAGGAGATTCCCCATCCCTCTTGCACAGAGCCGTTGGTGGATTCGAACCACGTGCTTTTGGGATCTCAGTGCAGCTTCTTGTCACTTACCAGCTAAGCTAGTTGAACAGTACAGTGCCCAGGGAAGAGTGTTAGTTCCATTAAGGACCTGCATGATCTCTCCTGATGATCCCCTCCTTGATGATGTCACGGTTAAAGGGATCATCTAACTAAAAGGTGGCTGGTTCGAATTCACCAGCCGCTCACAAGGAGAGAGCTGACGCAGGATGTGTCCATGAGCACTCACAGCCTGGAGACCCTATGGGACAGTTGTCCTTGGTCCTGCAGGTTTGCTGTGAGTCATAAGTGACACAGTGGCAGTGGGTTTGGTTTGGGTGGGACAGACCTGGCCCCATCATGTTCGATCCCTGTAACAGAGATGGAAAACGGGAGGGAAAGGCCTTCGGGCTCCCTGGTCAAGGCCGCTATGAGGATGTGTTTGTATCAGCAGAGGGCAGAGGTGTTTGAGGCTTTAGAGCAGGCCAGTAGCGGAGGGGGCCAGGGCCCCGGGGGTGCAAGAGCATGGCCAGCAGTGGTTCAAACCTACCAATGTCTTTATGGGAGATAAGACCTGGCCTTGTGTTCCTGTCAAGATTTACAGCCTCAAAACCCCTCTAGGCAAAACCACTATGAGATATCATTTCACCCCAGTCAGAATGGCAAAATTCAACAGAACAGCAAACAACAAATGCTGGCGAGGTTGTGGAGAAACTGGAAACCTTATTCACTGTAGGTGGGAGTGTAAAACGGTACAGCCACTGTGGAAGGCAGTGTGGCTCTTTCTCAAAAAGCTGCAAACAGAGATACCATTTTTTTATTTCATTATTTTTTGTGTGTACCGTCAAATCAGATCTGACTGGTACAGGAGGAGATTGTTCCTCCTTCTCCAGCAGAGCATCTGGTGGACTTGAACCATGCACCTCTGAGACTGCAGTTGCAGCTTCTTGCCACTAGGCCACCAGAGCTCGCCTAGAGATACCATTTGACCCAGCAATTCCACTACAGGGAATTTACCCTAAAGAAACCATAACTGACACCCAAGCAGATATATGCACTCCCATGTTTATCGCGGCTTTGTTCACAATAGCAAAGAATTGGAAACAACCCAAGTGCCCATCAACAAACGAATGGGTAGCGAAGCTCTGATATCCCATCAACCAATGAAGGGACAGAGAAGCTGTAGTATATTCACACAATGGAATACTCTGCTGCATTGAAAACAAGGAACTCATGAAATATTATACAAAAGGGGTGACCCTGGAGGACATTATGCTGAGTGAAATATCACAGACACGAAAGGACAAATACTGCACAGTGCCGCTGTTGTAAAACAGGACTGACATCAGAGTTGAGGGGAGACTGAGAAAGATAGGCTAAATAATGTATACTGCACTGAAACAGATGGAGAGAACGGTTTAAAAGGGGTATATGATTAGGTATTAATGTCATGACATGAATCCAGAATGAAGGCTGCACAGTGGAGTGGACCTGGGGAAAGGGATTGTAAAACAATGGAAAATTTTGTCTTTTACTTTTCAAAGAGAAGACTGAACTGGGGTGAGGGGTGGGCGGGGAGAAAAGTGCAACAATGAATGAATAATGGAAATCCAAAGTCTCTGTAAACTTTCATTATAATTTAATAATAAAAACCCAACACCCCCTCTCTGGGGCACTTCTGTATTCTGTCCTGAGAGGCTGGCAAGTGTCGGAATTGATTCAGCGGAGGGGAGGCTGCCTCACACTTCAGAAGCAAAAGGGGGCAGTCTTTCTTCATGCAGGTGGGCAGGTCCTGGGCACTGGTCCTAACCTGGGCCAGTTGGTGGATGGTGGCAGCTGTGACTCTGATTGCTTTTAAAATCACATTTATTGAGAGAATTCACAGATCATAAAATTCCCTTTTAAACTATACAATTCAATGGCACTTAGTACTGTCACAGGATTGTGCAATCATCCCCACAATCGATTTGAGAACATTCTTATCATCTGGCTGTCGGCGGGAACTCCCTACTCCCCCGCCGGCCGCCGGCCCAGCCGTGGCCCCTGCTCCCCTGCTTGGTGTGTCCTACAAAGGGGCTCAGGCAGCCTGTGGGGCTGGGGTCCTACCTTCTCTCCCTGAGCGGGAGGTGTCTGAGCTTCTGCCACGTTGCACCGGAACCTCGCTCCTTCTGGATAACGTTCCACTGTGTGGATAATACCCTGGCGTTGTTTCAGCTCACAGCGACCGTCCCTGGCATCCCCAAGGCTGGACATCTTTATGGGAGGAGATGCCCATCTTCTTAAACTGCTGACCTTCCAGTTCACAGGGCAACATGTGATGCAAGCAGCCCCCTGAGCTGCCTAGGGCGTGGCTAGGCCACTGTCGTTCTTCCTTGAGGGACACTGGTGGGCCTCTTTCCTTGTCGGCTGTTATGAGACTTGTATATACAGTGCACTCTTCTCTTGGGTGAACACCTAGGAGAGGGTTTCTTGCTCACAAGGTAAATCTGGGTTCAGTATCTTGGGGACTTGTCCTTGTGCACCAGGCATGTCATCTCCACTTTACGTCTGTGTCCAGAGTTGCACAGCAATGAGGTGTGCCCCATCTCATCTGTCTGTCCATCCAGCTGTCTGTCCATCTGTGGGTTTCCAGAGAGGGTGCCGAGCTCTGAAGGGGTCTGGGCAGGAGGACTGAGGAGTGTCCTGGGGCGACTGTCCCCCTCACAGGTGAGTCCATCACTTGGCTGGACTTGAGTTGTGGGGTGACGTTGGTGTCAGGCTTGCTGGGTGCCTAGGAGTGCGGGCAGGGGTCTCGGAGGCAGTGTGACTGGTTCAGGATAGAACAGGGTTCAGAGCTAATGTGCACAGGGAGACTTGTTGGCACACAGGGCACAGCCTGGCGGGTGACACCAGCCTCCATGAGACCAGTGAGCCCGGCCTTTCCTACAACTTTGCAGTTAGTCGTTTCTAGAGAGGTCGCTGGAGAGTCCCCGGTCCTTGCAGTGTCCCCAGGACACTCTGGAATGGCTCGTGGTTGTTCAGCGGCTGCACCCCTGGTTCCCACAGCCCGTCCTCCTTTTATCCTTGTGGTTCCAAGCCCAGCCACTCTCGGATGAAGGCCTACGCGGTTCTGGCTGGACACCTGCCCGTGTCACAGTGACACAGGGCTCTGGGTTGGTGGCGCTGTCCCCACCCAGGCTGTTCCTGAAGCCCCTGCCAGCTTTCCACCGGACATCATCCGACTCTGCTGAGTGAGATCCTGCAACTGGGAACAGAACTCTAACAGCAGACTCGACTTTCCACTGTTTACACTCAAGTGGGGCTCTGCTTTCAGGGCTGAGACACTGCCGTTAGCCCGAGGCTGTGTCAGACCCCGGGCAGAACGGAGTTCCAGAACTTAGCTCACAACCAAGCAGGAGGCCTTTGGACAGAAACCGGGGAAATGACGTGGTTACAGGCTGGAGAGGGGTACGTCCAGGCTAGGGCCCTTCTCCTGACCTATTCAGTCTGTACAATCAGCAGGTCACTTTGAAAAATGAGGATCTGATATCCCCAAAAAGTCCCCAAAGGAGCCACGGTGGTGCAGAGGTTAAAAGCTGGGCAGAGAAGGTTTGAATCCACCAGGTGCTAGGAGACAGACTGTCCTCGTGGGCTGCTGCGAGTGGGTGCTGCTGCAAATGGGCACTGCTGGGAGTGGGCGCTGCCACAGCAGCCCACCACGGTGGGCTATCTGCTCATCTGGTCAGTGTCCTGAGGGAGGGGACCTCACCTGTTCCAACAGCGGCACTTTCTAGCCCAGCAAAGAGAGCGGGATTGGGGCACAGGGACGGTGGTGCGTGTCCTGGGGTGTCCACCCTGCTGTGGTTTCTGGCCTGCAGGCCTAGGTCAAGCCTGGCCACCAGGCTCTAGAAACAGCCAAAGCCCACTGCTCACTGCATGGCTAAGGAACCACCGCCAGGCACTCTGGGAAGCCTGGCACCCCAGATGCTCCTCCCCGGCTACCAGCCGGCAGCTGAGAAGAACTTCAAGGGGCACACCGGGGGGTGTCATGGACTGAACCGTGCTCCCCCAAAATATGTGTCCACAGTGATCTCCTTGAGCTGATAAACCAATTAATGTTAAAAAGATTAAGGGCGGATGCAGCATCCATAATCCCACCACAACCCTGATCTAGTGCAAGGGAGCTTTGCTGGGATGGGCCTGCAACAGCTCTTATCTCGGAAGAGACCAAAACAGAGGCCCAGCAGAGGGAGAGAGGCCTCGGGATGACCAGGAAGGGGAGGGACCTCGGGGTGACCAAGGGAACAGGACCTCAGGGTGACCAGGAAGGGAGAGGGACCCGGGGTGACCAGGAAGGGGAGGGACCTCAGGGTGACCAAGGGAACAGGACCTCAGGGTGACCAGGAAGGGAGAGGGACCCGGGGTAACCAGCAAGGGGAGGGACCTCGGGGTGACCAAGGAAGAGGGACCTGGGGGTGACCAAGGGAGCAGAACCTGGGGGTGACCAGGAAGGGAGAGGGACCCGGGTGACCAGGAAGGGGAGGGACCTCGGGGTGACCAAGGAAGAGGGACCTGCGGGTGACCAGGAAGGGAGAGCGGGAGTGGAGCGTGTCCTTGAGCCACACCTTGGGGAAGGCAAAATGCAAAGAGGCAGCCGCCATGGCCAGGAGGCGAGGTGAGGCCCTTCCAGCCGGGGTGTGCACCAGGGCTGCCTCCTGAAGGCCCTCCTTCCCCTTGCAGCACCGCTGTTCTGTTGCAGCTCAAGACGGACACAGGGAAGGACAGGGTCAGCTGACGGGCCTCCCAGACCACACAGCTGATGCCTGCGGCTGTCTCTGTCTTCAGAAACTGGGATCCTCCGAGTCCTATTCCAGGCCCCCTCCCAGGGTGCCCCTTGGACGGGGGTGTCCGGCCACCACTGACACCAGCTGCCAGGGCTTTTCTGACCCCCTCCCACTTTCCATCTCAGAAACAGTGGCATGTCCGACTGTGAATTCCATCACTCACCATTTTAATGCCTACTCATTCTCAAGCTTTCAGAGGAGGGATAGAGAAAGAGAAAGAAAGCAGTGGCTCTTGGGAAAAACCTCAACCCAACACAAAGTCCTTTGTGCTGGGACATTCCTTACTCTTCACTGGCCGTCTGATCTGCATTGGGTTCTTCTGAAATGGTCAAGCCAAGAATTTCAGTGGCGAATATTTCCGCTGTGATTTCCTCCGGGAGTTCCTCTTCAAGGGAAAATTCTGGGCCTAGCCAAACGAGAAAAGCCAGCACATGCCTTCCTGAGGGCTGGGCGGCCACCTCGCACGCCTCCTCAGAACACAGACAGGGCAGCAGCCGTGGAAGGTCCTGTGGTGACTGGTCCCTCCCGGGCCTTTCACATGCTGGGGCCCACCCTCTGCTACCAGCTTGAGTCCTGCTGACCAAACCTTCACAGACCGCACCGGGACTCCTGAGCTACAGCTGCTGGCTGCCACCGAGCTGACCCCTGAGGCACGGTCACCCTGTCCCACGTCATCCATCCCTGTGACAAGGTCACAGGTCGGACTCCCGTGTTCCACACGGTTCCACTCTTCTCAGAAGCGACTGCCAGCTCTTGCTTCCAACTCCACCTTAGTCTAGAATCTGCTTCCGTTTCACGGTGGTTCGTACACCCCCAGTGACAGCTGGGTGGCAGATGAGCATGAGGTGACCTGGCTGAGAACTGAACCTGGTCCCCACATGGAAGGGTCACCACTGCCCCAGAACTATGCAACATGGCTTTGAGATCTTTAACAATGGAAAATAAATACAAGAGTACCCCACTTTCTGCCCTTTGCGTCACCGCACTTGGCAGGTCCAGCACTATCTACAGATGATGGGCACGGGCAGCCTGCATGGAGCTAGTCTGTTGACACCGTTCCTCCTGCAGCAAGGGCCTGCTTCGTGTCTCTGACACATTCAGGCATTCCTTGCAGGACCTCACACTTTTCCATCAAGTACTGCACACTTGGACCTCAGCAGAGTGTTCACTAACTTCCACACTCACTGCTGTGACTGTTTATCACCATCAACCTAGAACCGACGCCCAGCTGACCCTCCCACGGTTTTTCGGAGGCTGTAAACTGCACAGGAGGCGACTGGCCACCTGTCTCCTGCGGAGCAGCTGGTGGATTCAGCCACAGGCCTTGAGGTTGGCAGCGCAGCTCCTGCCCCGAGCTCCCTATCATGTTCGCAGAGGGCAAGATAGAGAGGCGAGCTGCAGTCATCAGCAGGTGTAAAGGTGCTTCGAACTCTTCCTGAAACTGCTGCAGGCCCAGAGGGGAAGCGCTCCAGCCTGACGTCTTCCTTTACCTGTCCTGGACCACTCGGCCACTGGGGTTCCCCAGAATACTACTACAGAAACGCTCCTTTCTATTGCTTTTTGGCCTGCTGCCGTTCCTCTCTATCTCTGGGTCTCCCAACCTTAGCAAACAGCAGTTCTCTGGACTCTTGCCGAGTTCTTAGCTTCGTGAAATGTTCCGATGTTCATGGCTCTATCCTCTACCAATTCCTTTTAAGTTCTCCTGTCTGTGGAGATACCAAAGGAAAATTCCTGAAGTATAGTCCTCAGGCAATTAGAAAGATCGAAGAAAGTGGAAACATGAGTATTTTTAAAAAACAGCATCTCCACTTGGCCAGCCCTACACGCAGGGAGGCAGCGGTGGGTTCCTGTTAATCACACCCGAGCACTGGCTCTGGGTGTGAAAGCGGAGGGAGAGAACATGCCCCTCATTGTTGAGGGGCCCTGGGGTGGTCTCTTCTGTAACTTCTTCTCGTTGTTGTTAGATGCTGTCCAGTCACCCACCTACGCTCCAGAGACCTGGCCTTCTGCTGTCCCGGGCCACCTTCTCAGGCTCTGACATCCTCAAGCCCACTGTTGCAGCCACTGCGCCAATCTCACCTTGAACCCTTTGCCTCTCCAAACGTGACGTGTTCTCCCACGAACTGGTCCTGGGAGCAGGCCCGAGGTCTGTCCGATGACACCATCCGCCCTTGCCCCCTAAGCAGTATCCTGACTATCCTGGTCTCACCCGCTGACGGACAGTTTTGTCTGTTCTTCTGGAATCCCCTGCGATACTTAGTACTCTCCTCCAACACCACAACTTAAAGGCATTGACTCTTTTTCCGCCATCCTTCTACACTGTCCAAATTTCAGATGCACAGAACGCAACGGCCTTTTAACTCTGCTAGGGAGAGGCTTGACATTCTCTCCCTACCTGATCTGGCTTTTTTGCTTCCCATGGAGTCTCAGGTTTTTATGATTTGGAATGGCTACTGTCTGAAGAACAGATTTCCCAAGCAGATTAAGCAGGCGTGGCCGTGTCACACAGCCTGGTCCTGGTCACTCGGATGGGTGGGTCTAGCTGGACTGGCCTTAGAGCATGCACGCAGTCTGGGGCTGGTTCATAGCTGCTGAACCAGTGTCCATACCTTAAGCCATACCTGTTAGGGTCCCCAGGAGTGGCTAATGAGACTACCAGAACTGAATCTCCTTAAGGGGTTTCCTGTTCTGCGGGGACAGAAAAAATGCTCTCCTGGGCTCACTGTCCCTTTATGAACACAGGGACGTAAAGCAAGATTTTAAAAGAGAGTTTTCACTACCAACGGGACACTACGTGTGCCCAGAACATGGTTCTTGTGCGTTTACCAGCACAAGGACTGCTCAAACAGCCCCAGTCAACCCAGCGTACCTTCCTTTCGGCTCGACGCAGCTCTAAGGGCTTCACGTTTCCAGAACGTGGTCTTCTGGCTCTGGCGCAGCTGTTTCTGCACCCACAGGGACATGGGGGGGAGGGGCTCGTATCCTGTAACTTCTACTGCTCTTCATTGCCATCAAATCGGAAATAACTCATAGCGGACCCTTCAGAGGGTTTTCAGAGGCAGTAAATTGCATGGGAGGAGACTGCCCAGGTTTCTCCTGCAGAGCAGCTGGTCGACTCGGTCCAGGCGCCTCTGTGTTTGCAGTGCAGCTCCACACCTCTAGGCCACCACAGCTTCTATACTGGTACTGCTGCCGCTGCGCTGAGTATGACGCATCACAACCCTATGAACCAAAGACCTGTTCTATAACTACTGTTGTTTCACTAAGTTCATAGTTTCCAGAGGCACGTTGTTTAGGAAGTGGATGCCACTCCTGCTTCCAAACCTGTCTTGATCTGGGAGCTCCACCAAACACTGTCCACCAAGGGCAACTGTTACAGCATTTGACACACCAGTGGCACAGCATTCAGTATCTCAGCAACCCCGAGTTACCTCAGTACAGCAAACTGACAGTCCAGGGCTGTACCACTTAGAAGAAGGCACTTGGACTGTTGTTGTTGTTGTTGTTGTTGTTACGTGCCGTCGAGTCGCCTGCGACTCACAGCGACCCTATGTACAACAGCCCTAAAACGTGCTCTATCCTATGCCAATCGCACTGTCTCTGACACTCCCATCCCAATTATCCCAGTCACTGAATCAATGCACCTCATAGAGGGCCTTCCTCTCCTGTGCTGTCCCTCCACCTTCCCAAGCATGATGTCCTTCTCCTAGGACTGGTCTCTCCTCACAACATGGCCAAAGTATGTTAGACGGAGCCTCAGAATCCTTGCCTCCAAGGAGCCACCCAGTTTAACCGTTTCCAGGACAAATCTGTTTGTTTCCCTAGCAGTCCATGGTATTCTCAGTACTCTTCTCCAGCACCACAGCTCAAAGGTATCAATTCTCCTTCTATCCTCCTTGGTCATTGTCTAACTCTCTGATGCATAACAAGTAATCGTGAAGACCATGGCCTGTATCAGACACACCTTAGTCTCCAGAGAGACACCATTGCTCTTCAGTACTTTGGAGAGGTCCCTAACAGCAGACTTTCCCATGGCAATGCGCCTTTTAATTTCCTGGCTGCTGGTGCCAAGAGTGTTGACTGTGGAGCCAAGCAAACTAAAGCTGTCAACAATCTCAATCTCTTCACCATCCATCCTGATGCTGCCAATTGGTCCAGTGGTGAGAATCTTTGTCTTCTTGACATTGAGCCTCAATCCATATTGTAGGCTGCAGTCCTTGACCCTCTGCAGCAGGTGTTTCAGGTCCTCCTCAGTTCCAGCAAGCAGGGTTGTGTCATCTGCATAACGCAGATTGTGAAATATTAAGAGTTGTTTTACTTCCAGATGAAGATTGCAGTTTATAGGGGCTGCTCAGGTTTCTATGACAACAGTGCAGAGACTCCAAACTCAAGCACAACTTAGCAACAGATCTTCTGGGTCTGCGTCATTGTGCCACGGAGCGTGAGCGTGGTCTGTGGTGATAGTGGACGCGGGCTCACTGTCACTTGTAATAAACTGGGGATGATGTCCCCGAGCACTGGTCTGTGTACTTCACCGGCTCTGACTGGAGTCAACTTTTAGCCAGGAACAGTGTCCACCTTTAGCTTCTATACTTTGGGCAGGGGTCACCACTGCAGAGGCCCCGAGAGCCACTCCTGCACTTAGCCGGTTGGTCCATGAAACCCAACCACCACTCTGGGGCTTTTCCTTCTGAGCGGCAGGGGCGTGGCTGGAGATCACGGACTTCCTCTGGTTTGAACATCCCATCCCTTACACTCTCTACACCAGACTGGTTCTGAATGTGGGAGGCTGCACACAGCCTTTGCTTACTCCAACACGATTCAGACACACCAGGAAACCCAAAATGTGTGTGACTCGACTGACGACGGCCTTCGCCTTGCTGGGGGTGGTCTGGGCCGGACCCTGCAGCATCTCTGCATGCTCGGAGGAAGGGTCACCAGGCAGTGCCCTGCTGGCGGGCAGACAGGGTGACTGTGCATGAGATGCATGAGGCAGAAACTGAACCAACAGAAGCTTCAACTCATGCTCCTCACGGAGGATCACTCCTGCTCCGTCCAGCGGCAGAAGTGGGAAGGGCGAACGCTCAGGCTCGAGGCAGGAGAGGAAGGAGGACCAGCTTCTTCCTCCAGGCCCCATGGACCTTCCTCTTCAGAAGCAGCTCCTACATGGGGTACCCTGCGTGTGGTCAAGAGCCCGCAGAAACCAGACTGAAGAGTAAAGGTGAGACCAGGAGGCTGAGGACGCACGCGGCTGGGGACAAAGGCTGGCGTCTCCCTGTGCCCTGGCTCTGGGCCTTTCCCTAACTTCCCCGGGGTGGGGTGGGGGATCCCTGCACACTGATGCCGACAGGCTCGTGGCCTGAGGGAGGCCGCATGCACCCATCACGTCTCATGTCTACAGCCAGCCAGGACGCACACCACTGAGCAAGACACCACAGCCACGGTACCTCTGAAGGAGGAGGTTGCGGGCTCCGACTTCCAGCCTTCCGGGTTCACGCCGTAGAGCGAGGAGAAGCAGTCCACCATCTCCTCCTGCGTCATGTGCTCACCTGGGCAACGGGACAGGAGGGGCAGCTGAGCTCTGGGGCCTCGGTGGGCTCAGAGCTCAGCACGCTGCAGCCATCCCTTCACCGATTTCATCAGACACAGATAATCCACACTCTGGGGGTGTAGTGGGTTAAACACTGGGCTGGGAACCAAAAGGCCAGCAGTTTGAAGCCACCAGCAGCTCTGTAGTCTCCTCTGCTATGGCTCTGAGCGCTGGTAACACAGTGGGGGATCGCCTGGAGTAGAAGGGCTGGAAGGCAGGGGGGTTCGTGTATCGGTCACACAGGTGTCCTTGTTAAAATCAGCAGCCGTCAAGTCAGCCTCACACCCAGCAACTTCATAGCCAACGAAAGCCAAGGCCGCCAGGTCCCAGCTCCCCCACCGTCGCCTGCACAGGGACACAGGGCTGCACTGGCTGCCCTGGGAACCAGCCTTTGGTCCTGGCCTGTCTGGAAACGGCTGGAAGCTGCTCAGCGCCACGGCAACACAGGAGCCTCCACTGAGAGAAGGTGGGCTGTGCGTGGGTCACCGCAGCCAGGAATCGAACCTAGGGCTTCTGCACAAAAGGTGAGCCCACCGGGGCACTCCCACAAAGCAGTGAGTGAACGGCTCTGGTGTCTCCCTCACAGAGGCCTCCCCCTCTGGAAATGACACTGAGAGGGCAAGGAGCTGCCTTTCCAGTCCCACTTTACAAGTAGGGACACGGAGTCTTGCACAGTTCCAGTAACAAAGGACCCACATCCTGGTGGTACAGTGGGATGAGAACTGCAGAGCTCACAAAGAACCCAGCAGTTGGACCCTCCTGACTGCCCCGGCGGACGAGGCACTGTGCTTCGGTCAGGATCTACACCCGCGGAAATCTTCCGGGGCTTTTCTGCTCTTGTGTGAGGCTCTGAGTCAAATCACGGTGAAGTCAAGGCTTGGTCTCCTCCTCGCTGGGACCCGCCGACATTCTTCCGAGTCCGTGGTCAGTATCCTCCCAGCCCCCAGGTTTGAGGTCAGCTGCATCTCTCATGGCGCATGCAGATGCAAGGAGCCCCATCTCCCTCCCGGGGGCACGGCCCAAGGACTTGCCTGGACAGTGGTCCTGCCATCTTTGCAGACTCACCTTTGGTTTGGAGCAACCTCAGAAAGTCCTCTCGGCGAATGGCCTTCTTCCCTTCCGGGTTGGTGTAGCCCAGGACGTCAAAGCTGTGCTGGATTTCGCTCATGGTGGTCCCAAAAGGGGGGCGGTGGTTGATGTAAACCTTGAGGAAATCTGGTAAATTTATTTTGTCCACTAGCTGCCCGGTGTCCACATATTCTCCAAACCTGATTTCATTAAACATGTTGTCAATCTAGGTGAGAGAGTGGGGGGAAAAAGTGCAACAATGAATGAATGGAAATCCAAAATCTCTGTGAATGTTCATTAAAATAAAATAAAATTTTTTAAAAAAGAAAAAAGTCACAGTAAACAGAAAAGACAATCTGTTGTTAAGCAGCTAGAAATCAGAAAGATACACACCAATGGTCGTGGCTGCCTCAGTTCATGCCCAATCTGCAAAATCGGGGCTAGAATTGAGACGGCCAGACTCTCGACTCCCACACTTTGTGATTAGAAAGGACCTGACCGAGGAGAAGGACATCGTGATTGGGCCAGGGAAAGAAAGGTCTTCAGTGGAGTAGACTGAGGGAAACGGGCTCAGAGATGGCAGCAAGAGAGTGTGGTTCAAAGCTGTCGCCGTGAATGGGAACTGACCCGATGACCGCTAACGACAATGGCAGGAGAATGAGCATGAACGGGGTCTGTCTGTCACCTTCCTCCTGACCACTGCATACTACACCCCACTGCTTCAACCGCCTTTGTGTTCCAAAGAACAGCACCAAGAAAGCAAAGAGAAAACCCACAGGACACCAGAAAGTATCTGCAAGCCATTTATCAACTAGTCGGGGCCTAAAGGGAGCGCTTGTACCCAAGACATATGAGGAATCCTCACAGCGCAGTATCACAAAGGCTCGCCGAGTCACGGACGGGCACAGAACTGTAGAGCCATTTCTTTAAAGCAGCTCTCCGCATGGCCCAGGAGAACGCGAAGACGTGTCCAACATCATTATGTTAGAGCACAGCAGTCAAAGTACCACTCCCACCAACTCGGGCAGTTACCAGAAGAAAGAGCAATGACAGGTGTTGGCAAAGATGTGGAGACACTGGAGCCATCACCCACTACTGCCAGGAACGGAAAACGGCGCAGCCACGTGGGAAAGCAGGCAGGCCCTCCAAAGGTTAAACGCAGGGTTCCACGTGACCACCCAAGTCCGCTCACGGGTACAGATCCAAGATAAACAAAAGCTTACGTCCACCCAAACCTGGGAGACGAACACTTGGAGTGCCACTGTTCACAGAAACCATCCAACGTTCACTCACTGACGAACGGATAAACGAGATCTGTCCCGTCCAAACAAGAGCCTGTTACTCAGAACGGCACACAGAAGCATGTGAGGGCAGAGAGCAGGCCGGATAGGCCATTCACGGTGTGCCCCCATTTCCAGAAATGTCTGCGTGGGGGGCCTAGGCCCAGAAAGTGGGTGCCTGGGGCTGGGGAGAAAGGCGGGGGGAGATGGGAAGTGACCGCTAATGGTACAGGGTTGCTTTCCAGATTCTAGGAATGTTCTAGAATCATTCTACAATTGATGACGGACGTGACCACTTGGCTCTGAACGGACTAGAATCCATTGTGGGGTCCACTTTGAACAGATGAACTGTATCTTATGTGACTTATATCACAATATATCTGTTTCCTCAAAAGCCATCACCCGATTCAATGAGAAAACCCGTGCCGCCCTGCACCGCCCGCAGCCCCCGTGTCACTCACCCCCACTCTGTGAACCACCATCAGAACCTTCCTCTTCCCGCGCCTCCAGCGGACTGCAAGCGTCCGTGTCCCCAGGCCAGCAGTGGGCTCTGAGGGGGCGGCGGAGGCCGGGTCGGTTCTAGAGAACCACGATGGATCGAGAGAAGCACGCCGACTCTCTGGCTCCCCAGGTCTGTCCACGGAAGGTGCAGCCAGAGTGCTGCTCGGGGCGGGGATCGGGACGCTCCACTCACATGGCCGAGAGGCTGTTCCTTGGGAGAGGGACATCGTGCTTGGGAGACCGCGATGGGGTGGACCGACAGGGTGACTGCGGCAATGGACTCGCGTGTCAGAGATGGTGAGGAGAGCACAGGATGGTCAGGCTCAGGTCAGGTTCACAGGGTGTCCACGCACCTGACCGAGGGCTGCCTACAAGCCTCCATCTGTAACCAACGCAATTACCTGAGCGGCTCCACAGAGCGGAGCGTGAAGGCTAGGGCGCCTTGCGGGGTGGGGGGAGCGCCTTGCTGGGGGGGCCGCCTTGCTGGGGGTCGTGTGCCACAGGGCCACCTGCACTAACAGCACAAGCTCATCTAACTTCTGCTCATTTCCAGACTTCTGTCGCTGACACCCATGTGCCTTCGGGAAGCGAACAGAGAACCCAATGGCAGCTCATTTACATAAGGTGAGAATTTTGAGGCTGTCACTCTGGTTCCAATAACATTAAAGTAAGTGAAAAAAAGGAGGGAAAAATTTACAGCTAAGCCGTGGCAGTTCACCACACCTCTGACTGTGTTCACCTTATTATCAAACCGTAACCCAGGTTCTAGGGAGTTGGTGGCTCAGTGGTAAGAAACTGGGCCAACACGAAGATAAGACCACTGATTGAGTCCACCAGCTGCTCTGTGGGCCCAAGATGGGCAATCTCCTGTGTGATCTACCGCCTCTGTAAACCCCCCAAAGTATCACCTACGGGTTGGTTCTGACTGGTCAGTGCACAACCACACAGGTCCCTAAATACACACTCCTGGTCACCCACAGAAGCCCAGGGGACGGAGCTGCGGCCATGGTCCCCCAGAGCACCGGGGCCCAGGAGATTTCGGCATGCCCCTTCTCAGAATCTTTTAAAAGAGTAAGTTTTTCAATTTCCCCCTCTGCATTTGGAATGCCACCCTTGGACTATTTTCCACATCGTTTATCCCAGAACAAGCAAGGATGGTCAAGAGTTGGATTACAGGCCAGGGTTCCCAGCGCCATCCTGGAGGGCTGGGCTGGACGGGAGCTGACCCACCCTGATCCCCATGGAGACTTGATGCCGGCTAAGGGAGGGCTCCGGGGAGCTTCTTCTAAGGTGGCTGTGGACAGAACACGTCCCCCCAGAATGTGTCCACCTGGTGAGGGGATGTCACGACATTCTGTGATCTGAGGTGACGACCCCTCCTGCTGTGAATCCCTCCTTCTACGATGTTAACATGGCACAACTAGAGGTGGCTGCGTCAGGAGGCAGCGTGGAATCGACACGGTGAGGTTTACTCTACCTCCTTCTCTGTGGGGAGACAGACAGGCCAATGAGCAGAGAGGACAGGACTGGGCCCCACCAAGAAAGAAGAGTCAGGGTATCCAGTGTCCAGTGGGCCCAGGGCCCCGTGCCGAGATCTCCCAGGCCCAGAGGAGGGCGATGCGTAGGTCCAGGGAAACTTCCAGGGACATCGGGCCTGGACGCCGCGGAGACAAATGCCTTCCTCCTCAACTGTGCACCAGCACAGCAAGCCGCCCCGAGCTGGGGCCTCAATGGGCTGGTGGCACCTGTAAGGAACTCACCCAGAGACGGTGCTTCTGGGGGTTCAAACCCAGCTGCAGGTCTGTGTGAGCAGGATGGACACTCCCCTGTGCCACTTACAGCCTCAGAAAACCTGCTGGAGGGCAGCTAGGAGGCAGCTCCACGCTGACCGGAACGTGTGTGAGAAAACGGGGCAGAGAAAGGGAACGAGGGAGACACAGAGACAGTCGTTGTTCTTACATGCCAATGAGTCAACTCCTAGTGACCTTATGAACATCAGACCTGACTCCTGTCCTGTCCTGTGCCGTCGTCTTCATCTCTGACACACCTGAGCTCAGGGAGAGAGGGAGGGAGAGCAGCGTCCCACACCGCCGTCCACTCGCGGGGTTTCCGCTGTAGACAACTCGGCGGGAGCTCTCGTGGCTAGTCCGAGGGGACCTGCAGGCTAACACCTCTGGAACGGCTCAATCGCACCAGCTGCTCCACGGGAGGAAATCAGGCAACGCCCCCCAGCCGTCTGCAGCCTCGGAAACCCACAGGAGTCGCCAATACGACAGCGATAATGACACAGGAAAAATGCAAGGAAGAGAGAAACACACACGTTTTAGACCGCAAGCCCGGCTCCAGCCCCAGCCTGCCCTGCAGGCGCTCAAGTCAGCGAGGGGCAGGAACCTGGATCGCGCCAGGCCGACGCCAGCGCACTGCTGTCTATGTCAACGGCGACGTTTTCAAATTGTGGCCTTTGGAACGTTAGAAAGGGAGAGAAGAAGAGTCAGAGCAGAGTGGGAAATCATCTGCCTTTTCTCTTTCCAGAACATGAATTCCATTTTGGTCTCTGTGAGTGGGTCTATATTGGAGCCCTATTTATCAGAAGATAAAGTGGCAAGAAGCTGCGCTGCAATCCCAAAGGCATGCAGTTCGAGGCCATCAGCTGCTCCTCAGGAGACAGATGGACAATCTCCTCCTGTGAGAACCCACCGGAGGGTCAGCTATGCGGGCGGGGGGTTCCGACTCTACCATACACAACACAACCACCACAACCAAGTTCTAGAAGCCCTCACAGTGCTGGGCTACAAATAGAAGGTCAGCAGTTCATGCCCACCAGCTGCCCAGCTGGACAAAGCCATGGTCTGCTGCCACAAATATACTCTGCCTTGTAAGGGTCAGGGACTGTTCCACTCTGTCCTGCGAGGTCATCACCGGGTTCTGAGCTGCTTTAAACACCATCAATCCAGAGTGGGACCACATGCTCGCCTCACGTTCCTGCAAATACTTGTTATATAGCCACCACGCCTTTATGCACGGAGAGTAATTAAGTAAACATGCACCGGGCCCAGTGCTTGTTTTTATAGACATGGGTCATTCTGCATTTGTGACTGTCTCACGGTCTAAGATGGAAGGAGACCCTCCTCCGGCTGTCCAGGCCCCCCTCTCTACTCTCACACGACAGCAGACCTCAGAGCTGCTGTGGGTTCAGTTCCAGACCACTGCAATCAGAAAATTATCCAAATAAAGCAAATATTGCAATGAAGCAGGGACTCTGACAGAGCGGGCTGCACACCTCTGGTTTTATAGGGGGGAGAAAAGTCATGTGGACATTCTACTGTGGTCTACAGTGTGTGAGAGCTTGGTGATAAAGTCTGAAACACTGAGAATGGCGAGACCTGAGAGAGACACCAAGGAAGGGTCCCTCCCCAGCCCTGGCCTCCCCACCACCCCATCTCCACACTGACTGGGGTGAGGGGAGGTGTGTGTCAGGCAGCTGTGCAGTATGGTTATGTCTGGACCCCTCTGGGGCCCCCTCACCTATGTCTACGTCACTCCGCTTGGCTGCCAACTTAAAGGCTAGCAGTTCAAACCCACCCATCAGCTCAAGACAAAAAGCTGGTGATCTGATCCTAAAGAGATTAAGGCCAGCGGACCCTATAGGACAGTTCTGCTTTGTCACAGGAGATCATCCTGAGACAGAATCTTCTAGAAGGCCCCCAAGGACACAAAGAGCCCGAGTCCACTGTTCCTGGGGCCTTGCCTGACAGGCCCTCCCCACCTTCAGGATGGAAGCCCATTGTGAGGTGCCAGCGACTGACTGAGACTCAACGGTGGTTCTCCACAGCACACACCAAGGGCACGAGTCACCATCCTGGGCCACCGTCATCGTTCTGCTGCAGCCCGGTGTCCCATGCCAGCCCAACCCCCTGAGAATTTTCTGCTGACCCTCCACTTGACCAAGCACGCAGCCTTCCTCCAGGAACTGGTCCCTCCTCCTCACAAACCTGGTGTCCGTGAGTCAAGTCTCGCCAGCCTCCCTTCTCAGGCACTTCCTCCAAGACGGATGCTCACTCCTCTGGCCGCCGACGGTACAGGCTATGTCTGTGGGACAGTCAACATCTTGTGCCAAATCCGTACTTCTTTTTATTGCTGTTCAAATTTTGTTTTCTCTTTTTAATCTATTTTCCCCCAACCATAATTCATGCACATCCATTCTTCTTCAGTTTTCCTCACCCACTGTCTAGTGTTTCCATGAATCTGAGGCGACTGGAAAATATGGCGAGAATCAAGCAAATGTTAGCTGTCAGCGGGCCATCTCAGCTTTGGATCCCTTTGGAGAGGTCCCCCCGCAGGAGACCGGCCCAAGGCAACGCGCGAGACCCCGCCTGACTTCTGGACCGCTGACCGTGGGTCCAAGCAAACGAGACCGTTAGCAATCTCAACGTCTTCCTTCTCATCCACTGTGGCCAACGGGTCCGAATGTGAGGGTCTTTATTTTCTGTTGAGGTGTGATCCACGCTGGAGGCTGTAGGCTTTAATCTTCCTCAGTGATTTCAGGAAGCAAGGCTGTGCCCTCTGCCTGACACAGGCTGTTGACGAGCCTTCTTCCAATCCTGAGACTGAGCTTTTCCTCAGACAGTCCAATTTCTCAAAGTATCTGCTCAAATGGAACAAACAGGTTAAAACGACGAAACCTTGGTGCTCTCCTTCGTTGGTTTTAAACCACGTGATGCCCCCTTGCTTTGTTCCAACAAGTGCCTCTTGGTCTGTGTTCAGGAGCACAGCTCAGTGTTCTAGAATGCTCTCCTTTGCAATGTTATCCCTTACATGTGATGACTCACATAATTCAATGCCTCGGCACGTACAGTAACAGAAGGGAAGCAGCTCTCTGGAATTCCATGCCTGCAGCCAAGGTCCTCCTGACATCAGCAGCCACATCCTCTTCTGAACCGCCTTGCCCTCTGACACTCCCCGCGGACGTACTGCAGCAACATTTTTAATACCACCTGATATTTACATTGCAGAAAAAGAGCCAGCCTCCGGAGGGCCTCCCTCAACATTTCCAAGTTCCCACGGGTCTTTGTTAGGCAGAAATCATGCTTGTGAGCCTTGGGTCCGACTTCCCCTCCTGCGGGCGGCTGTCCACATGGCCAAGGGCCCTCCAGTGCAGCCGGGACTCTGATGGAGCCACGAAGATTAGTGCCCAGGGCTTTGGGAGGAGGTGTTTGTTTCTCTTTCTTGGTTTTGTTCTGATGTCAAAAGCAAAACCTGCTGTATGCGTGCAGTTAAGAAAAACAAGCTAAGACAGAAACACGCGCGTGTGTGTGTGTGTGTGTGTGTGCGTGTGTGTGTGTGTGTGTCCCTTCCTTCTTTTATAACTTCTCCTCACCCAGTGAAGGGTCGCTGTGCGTTAGAATGGAGCTGATAGCAGAGGTTTTGGTTTTGGGGTTTCCCTTCTCAAGACGGTGGACGCCACTAGACAGGAACTTCTTTCATGGCATTGACCGTGACCTGTGAACAGCTGGCACAACACCAGGACGTGCTGTGCCATCCTCACCAGCCCCATCGGTTGCTGTGACCTTCGGCTGAATGGGAACGACCTGGGACAAGGTTGTGTGCGCCCTGCAGGGCTGGGAACCACTCAGCAACTGCACCCCGCATTCTCCTACCATCTCCCAAGTCACACACGCCCAGGCAGCATCTTCCATTCATTCGCTCATTCACCCAGACCTGCGTGGGCACCTCCAGGTGAGCACGAGCCTCCAACCTGCAGGATGAAAATCCCCAGTGAACGCCCTGCCAGCCGGATAGGGATGTAACCACAAGCATTGAGGGAACAGGTGGTGGTGGGGGGGGTGCCCCAACCAGATATTCCAATGTCCCCAAGGAAGAGACGAAGCCGTGCTGTGGTGACATCAGCCCCAGAGGCTGGTCCCTGCTGTGACGCCGCACATCTGTCATTGCTAATGGGATGGTGACAAGAGCAGCCTGCGAGGCTGTGACCCGACCACCCTGGGTGGTTAGGATGCCGCAGAACGTGCGGCCTGGCCCCGAGTCGGTGGGAAGGGTGGCAATTTTGCCCTCCACCTGCCTCACTGACTCGATTCAAATCCCCAAGGCGGTTACAATGACGTAAGAAAAATACAAATAATGTGATCTTCGGGGGAAGGAGACTGTTTCAAATGTCTATCTATGTCTGTGCCTTTTATGTCCCTGATGGTAAAACGCTATAATCAGAGGCATGCTTCACGCACAGGGCACGGGAGGCAGCTACGTCTCATTGGAAGGCTGTTTCGTTAGCCATGGCAAAGCCCGTTTTGGAAGCTGTAAGACCCTGAGAACAGTCTTATTAGGAACCGCCGTGGATCTGACATGAGAACAAAAGCTGAGAGGGTTGGCCCTGAGGTTTCAGATGTAAACTGACCCATCGATTTGCAGTTGGTGCGCTGATGTGGGGCACGGGACACATCTGCATCCCAGGGATTTCCAAAAATGTCTCCACGCGGCAGACAGCAAGCGGCATCTGCTTGTATTTTTCAAAAACACATTAAAAACTCTGGCATGCGTGTGATTTACAGAGGTGGGGCCCAGCGAGAGATGCCCACTGTGCTTGCTGCTTTTGGTTTTTACAGACACTGGCCTCTGCTTTCTCCTGCTGTCGGCCCCTCCCCGCGGGTCCTCTGACTCTCAGACCCTCACACTGGGCACCATGACGGAAGACCCTGCCCGTGGCTGCACTGCTGAGGAGGGCACCTCACCTCAAAAGGCTCCACATCAGTGATAATGCCCGCCTCTGAGTCTATGTGACTCAACAGCTAGGTAACTACGGACGTCTGGCTATAGTGGGGCGAGGCAATGCTGGTGGCTGTGACGGTCAAGGTTATGTGTCAGGCCTGGGAGAATGTCTGGTGTCAACTTGCGGAAAACTAGTCCCTGAAAATCTTAGGGAGCCTAATGATGCCGCTGCGTGAGGAGCCAGGGTTCTGTCTACCTTCTGGTCTGAAAAGAAAACCAGTCAGCCGCACTTTCAGCAGCCGTTCCCACCCGGCACTTCCCCAGGGCCTCCTGTCCCTGTCTGGAGCACTCCACAGCTGGGGTTTTGAGGGATGACTGCACCTTGTGAGCTCCTGGCCCGGCTCCCAGGGGTGCCCGTTACTACAGCGGGGCGAGCGCTGGCTCTTCAGAGAGTGTAACGATCCCTGCCGTCCCCTGGCCATTTCCTGAGCTCTCCTGCCACCTCGCTGGGCCTGCACCGTGACCAGTAGGGCTGGGACAGGACTTCGGCCCTTCTGACTCCAGACCGGCGCAGTTAACCCGGCACAGTTAACACCCCCCAACACACACCCCCCCCCAACACTAAGCCCAGTCAGAGATGCAGCACTCAGAAACAGTACGGGTCTAAGGGAGCCCTGGTGGCACAATGGATTAAGTATCTGAGTGCTGAGTCAAGTCCAAAGAGACCAGATGCTCCAAGTAAGATCAGTCACTGCTTCTGCAAAGACACAGCCTTGGGCTGGTTCTGCCCAGTCCCACAGGGTCACCCCAGATGAGAACCCCCCGGGCCAGTTCTGGCCTGTCCTGCAGGGAGGGTCACCCACAGGGGGAACCCCCTGGTCAGTTCTGCCTTGTCCCGCAGGGAGGGTCACCCACAGTGGGAAGCTCCCCAGTCAGTTCTGGCCTGTCCTGCAGGGTCACCCACAGTGAGAACCCCCCGGGTCAGTTCTGGCCTGTCCTGCAGGGAGGGTCACCCACAGTGGGAAGCTCCCCGGTCAGTTCTGCCCTGTCCCGCAGGGAGGGTCACCCACAGTG